ATGAGAGGTTGTATACAAGCATATTTGTGTATTTACATGCTAATTATGAGTAAAAAATCAGAGAAATATTTGTGAAATCTGTGATACATATATATACATTCAGAAAATATTATAAAAATTGAAAAATTGAAATTTTTCCACCAAAAAAGCATACCACAGCGGCGGAGCCATGGCAGCCAAGGATGCCTTCACAAGAGTCTTTGAGGGTGGTGATAATCATGAGGGTTGGGGAGGTTTCATTGTGGAGGGTGATGGAGAGTTCAAAGTGAAAGATCTGAGAAATCTGTGATTGATTACAAGCAAAAACCAGAATGGACTGAAGACAAGCAAAATTCAAGAAAAAGATTAAGGCAAGATATTGAAAAGAAACAACCAAGGGGGGGCGGCGGCAAGAAAGTAAGGGGAGGTGGGGCCGCGGACGAGCAGCAGTGGGCAGGGGGGGTTGCCGGGGGGGTGGCCTAGTAAGGAGAGTGAATTGGTGGTGGCGGCCGAGATGACCACGGTGGCAGCAGGGGTTTGTGGGGTCTGGTGGCTGGCTGATTTAGAGGAGAAAAAAAGAAGAGAATTTAGAGTTAAATATGGGATGATCAAGGTTGTAGATAATAGATTGCTAACTGGGGGATGTACAAAGGTGCGGAGGCNCGGCCCTGCTTTGACTATTGGAAACTCAACACAGTCACTGTCAAGAACAAATACCCACTCCCCCTCACAATGGACCTGGTTGACAGCCTTCTCGATGCAGACACTTTCAAAAAACTGGATCTGCGGAATGCATACGGCAACCTGCGGGTAGTGGAAGGCAATGAAGATAAGTTAGTTTTCATCTGCCGTGCGGGTCAATTTGCACCCCTTACAATGCCTTTCGGGCCAACCGATGCCCCTGGCTTTTTTCAGTACTTCATGCAGGACATCTTCCTTGGCTGCATCAGCAAGGGTGTTGCGGACTATCTCAAAAAAATTATGCTTCACAGCCAGAAAGGCTCCAACCATGAAGATGCTGTCCGCACTGTCCTTGAGACCTGAGCAAGCACACCCTACTCTGGCTGAAACCTGAAAAATGTGAATTTTCAAAAAAGGAAGTTGATTACCTGGGCCTCCTGATCTCTTGTAACCGCCTGCAAATGGACCCAACCAAGGTCAAAGCTTTATCCGACTGGCCCCCGCCCCGCAATGTCACCAAGCTACACTTCATTGGATTCGCTAACTTCTACTGTCGCTTCATTGACCAATTTTCCGGTGTCGCACAGCCCCTTCACGGCCTGACCAAGATGGACTCCAGCTTCTACTGGACCCCCACATGCCAATTGGCCTTTGAAAACCTCAAAGTTTCCTTCATTTCTGCACCTATCTTGAAAATATCTGATCCGTACCGTCCCTTTATCCTAGAATGTGATTACTCCAACTTTGTGCTAGGTGCTTTTCAGTCCCCAGTTTGCCCAAGGGAAAACCTCCTCTGGTAGCCTACTTTTCCCACTCAATTATCAAAGCGGAGTGGGACTACACAATCTTTGACAAGGATCTGTTAGCACATCAGTTCTTCACCATCCTTTTACCACAATAAGATCTTATCCAGTAAGTCTCATCACACTGCCCCTTCAAAACTATTCTCTGAGCCATTCAGTTAAATCAAAACAATTTCTGGTTTTCATCACAGCAAGGAGTGATGAAAGGAATTTTTTATCTTTATTTGAAGATCATGTTGTATTTGAATCTTTGATGCAGACTGTCACCCAATGGATTAAAAGTTTTGACCCTTGTTACATGACGAGCTTTGCATATGGACTTGAGAATTTATACTAGGACATACAAGCATATATCTGCTAACAGGACATTAAAATGACTCAACCTGCAACAGCACACTTATCTTAGTGGTTAAAGAATCACTCAGGAAGTCTGAGGTCATGGGCTCAATTCCCATAGTGCACAACTGACATTATGGTTTCTGAAATGATAGCCAGAGTCAGCTTCACAACACACCCTAACAGGTGAAAAAAATACATCATACAACCATGAAAATTTATTTGTAAAAGTGTGATGATCAAGGTTGTAGATAATAGATTGCTAACTGGGGGATGTACAAAGGTGCGGAGGCTGGAGATAATCCTCCCAGCTGGGACACCCCTGACAAGTCCCAGAGGGGGTTACAGGATCACAACAAGTTACAATCAAATTCATCCTGAGTTCAACCTGACTTGTAATTTACTTCAAACCAACATCCCATAAGTTACAAACAGGATATTCAAGAGAGTGATGTGAAAGAACTTGCATGCAAGTTCCATGGAAACAGCTGTGGTGATACCATCTGGTGTCTATCTCCCCAAATTTTACCTTACTCTTTGTTAAAGCAACATTTCAACTGATTGTACATTATGGAACATAAGAGTGGATATATCAAATCTTAAATAAAGAGTTATTTTATTCTTATGTTAGCTCTTCTAAATATGAAGACTTGGATAACTTAGTCTGTGTTTATAAGCATCACATGACAGGTGTAATATTTCAAAATCTGTGATATTTCATCTGCTGGTATTTTGAAAACCTTCAGATATGATGCCCCTTCCAAACTCCTGTGGATTTCAATTAATATTATGACAGATATCATATTTTTCAAACTGCAAACAATATTACACTCTAAATATTTTCCAAAAAAAAACAGCCTTAATTAAAAAATCAATACTCAGTTAAAAAAATCATAGGAAATTCATTTCATGATGTATTTCCTCTCACTGAATTAATTCCTGTTTTTCCTAATTTCTTGAAATCATATAGTCCTCCAAATTTTGTTTACAAAGATGTATGCTTATTTTCAAATGTTGTTCCTCTCCACGAGTTTGATTCTCTCTCCTCCAATCTCGACTGCTCCTCGGATGAATCTTCATGGCATGTCATTCCATCTTTGGCACCAATTGTACCAGATACACACCAGCGTACGACAGGGACCAAAAATCCACAGGTTGAAGAGGGGGGCACAGATAATGTAAATGCTAATCGAGATCCTGGTGAAAAGGATGCGGGCGATATGGAAAACGGTGACGAGATGGAGTCTGCCGCCACCCTTAGAATTGAATATGAATTTTGCCTCTGCGACTGAGTCGCCAGGGTCTGACACCAGCTACTTCACACCACCAATCTGCTTAACTGTCTCCGTCGGGAACCCGGGCTACTCCGATTCAATCTCGTGGACGCCGTGCATACGCTAACTAAAATACCGCCAGCGAGAAAGGGCCCGCCAAACAAAAACCTGACAAAGGCAAGTCATCTATTGCGACTACATATCAGGTAACATTCGACAAGAAGTACAATTTTTTGGAATCGAACACAAAGCGTTTGGAGGCCCAATTTGAGTGGGATCGTGAGGGACACTACCACATCGTTGTCTCAGCATGGAATTGGGGGCATCTTGCCCTCAATCCTTACAAGAGGAACCCTCATGAAGGTGACTGGTTTTTTTTCTGGTGTATGAAATAATTTTCAAGGAACCTCCTACTGTGAATCTATATTAAATCAGTTTTCCTCAGACACTGTCAAATAGGTTGAGTGCAACCCAGAGTAAGAAGGATGAGCTCAAACAAGTTATAAGTGATCTTATTTTCTCATATCTTGAATGTAATATCTGTTTGTGGATGCTCAGTCCCCACACTTGAAACTGGTCATAATGTGAGGGAATTGGCTCAAGTTAGTAGGACGTTGATCTTGAAGGGATGGGAGCACAGGATAAATATTTGTCTACTTGCCTGATCTCAGTGGGGCCCCTCATGGGTCAGCAGAGGTAGTGACATCTGACAGTTCTGTGACAGGTCAAGACAGGCTTGGCTCAGCAACGTACCTGGAGCTGGTGGTACACTCCGAATGACCAGCCACAAGGAAAACTGAAATATTTCCCATTATCTATTCTCCATACCTTGCCTATAAGGAGGAGACATCACTGCAAGCAGAGTGAATCCCGGAAGCACTCGAGCACGCCATATCCATCTTGCGACTGATCAAGCTTGATTGGAGCGTACAGTCTTGTTTACGCATCCATATCAGCAGAATCTATCTCCTGCCATCTGTTTTATTGAGACAGTTAGGGAGCCATGGGCCGCTCTCGTCGTCATCAGCATTCAATCAGGGTGTATCCTGAGTATGCGAGGAATTCGTCGGAGGCATTGAACCATAGTCATGAGGATGATGAGGATGGCGGGGATGATGAGGATGACAGTAGCAACATCCAGTCCACCTTCCCGCCCCATCACCATTCGCCGCTGCTGGGAACCAACAGCTCTGCTGGCTTCATGACTCGACGGCCGGACAGCAGTTACCGGACGATCCGCGCTCGTTCGACACGGCTAGGATTCAAGGCGAAAATCTCTTGTCGGGGGCTCAGGATGCCGGCCTTGCTCCTGCTCTCCCTCGTCGCCATCCTCTCCTTCGTCGTCGTTCCTTGGCACCAATCCCGCTCCAACCTCGACCTCAACCTCCTCAGAGACCGTGAATTCCATCTCGACGGCTTTGCTGTCCACAACATCTCTGCCCCCGACGGTTCTATCTACGGTAGCTTTGTCGGCTTCGGCGCCTCCGTTCAAAGCTTGTTTGTCAAGGATCGTCATGGGTAAGCTTCTTGATTAAAGGAGTCATCGAAACGTGACTCGGTGTGTTCACACTTCTAAATTCTTGCCATCATTTTCCTTGATGAGGTCGTTCCGAGATATCGTCTTAGGCTACGACAACACCTCTGAGTATCTCTACCATCCGTCCAATCCACGATTCGGTTCGATCGTTGGACGATACGCGAATCGGATAAAGAACAGTTGAGCCGCCTTTGTCCCCCATCAAAAGCTGGAAACATATTACTCATGCTTTACTGTCCAGGCTCATTTACGATCCCAGGCCACCCTGATAATTTTTATCGGACAACTCCAAATGAGCATCAGGGTAAACACTTTTTTCTTTTCTTTCCAATCACAGGCCATCAAGCTAATTTTAATGAAGAAATTTGGTCGGACAGGTTTGAATACCCTACATGGAGGAGACCCCGGATGGGATAGAAGGTTGGTGAGCGTATCTCAAACCATGTTTTTTGTACCTCGCTTGGACACGGACGAATCGCACTCACGTCTTTCAGTCCCTTGGACAACGCAGACCTTTCAAAGTGGAAGCTAAAAATCTGAGCTACATCTCCTTCTCGCTTGTCGATGGTGAAGGTGAGCAGGGGTTTCCAAGTCAAGTTGTATCTAAGGTCAGTGGGTTGTTACCCCTCTGTTACCCTGAAAACGAAAAAAAAAAGTGTCTTTCGATTACCGACCGTTTTTTGTTCGCTATGATAGATAGAATATCAATTACTCTCGGGCGGGAAATGGAAGATCAAGATGACAGCGGAGGCAAATGGACCCACTCCAATAATGCTCTCTTCGCATGTTTATTGGTCGGTCTCCCATTGATTTCAGTCCAGCTTAAGCGACACAGCGTTGATGTTTTTTTTGTTCGACAAGGAATCTGGATGCGTATGCCTCTTCCGAATCGGCTTCGAAGCATTTTCTCCAGCTGAACGCACCGCAGTCTATTTCTACGGACCCGATCTTAATCCCTACGGGGACACTACAGCCGGTCAAAGATACTGCACTGGATTTTTTGGAGCCGACAGAGATAGGCTCCCGCTTGAATCAGACCCTTGGGCTCTGCGGGCAGGACTGTATTGGATACGTGAGTCCCAGGGTTCATATGTATTTATCATCGCATTGGCCAAACGACTGATGCGCATCTGTTGGTCAAGTTACTTAGGACAATGCGCTCGTGTATGATCGCGATCGGGCCTTGGACGTCCCTGTGATGTCGATGGTGAGCCATCAGTCGGGCATCAAGTCAGTTCTCGCACCACCCTATCTCTCCGCGTCTTCTTCCGCGAGAATTATTTATTGTCCATGAGATTAACTTGACCTCCTTCCTGTTTTATTAGGATGTCAGTCATTACTGATCAATTAGGGGTACAGATTTACACGTGTAATGCCATCGTCTCGCCCGACAAGACAGTCGCCCCGATTCCGCGGAAAAAATCTCAAGCCGGGCCGCCGGGGATATACGAGAATTATTCGTGTATTGTCATAGAGCAACGTCAGTAGCACCATCCATGAGCGTTCAATTTTTCTTTGATCAAGTGTTACAGAGCGGTCTGAGTTGATCCCAGCATATGGTGCTCATTGAAATTCATTCTCAGAGGGCTTGATCGACGCCATCAATCATCCCGAGTGGAACATCAACTCCATCTATGGGCCCGATAGATCGTATCAATGGAACTCTATTTACGAGTTCTCGACCATTTGATGGGCCCATATATCCTCTCTTCAAGTCTTTCCGTCATTCTTCGTTACCCGTTTCTCATCCTTCGATCAGCAAAACGACAAACCAGAAACTCCGCACTCTTCTCTCATCGCTTAATTGTGTTGTATTCCCTTCAATTTTCCAACCCTGGCGGCTCTGTGTCCTCTCTGGCAGCTCCCTATCGCACAACACAAAACTACAAGTAAATACTATCTTTTTCTTTTTCTTTGTTTTTGTGACATAGAATGAAGTGCGATTTTTCGTTCTGCATGTATATTTACTGCAAAAGTACTGCACCATATTTCAATGCAAATTCTTTTTGTGTTTCTGGATATCCTTGAGCCACTTGTCCTTCTATTTTTTTCGCTCTGGCAAGACATATTTTTTTTTACTGATTACAATTGTTGTAGCCATGCTTCAATATTGAGTCATACATTCAGAACAAGCAATAAAAATAATATAGAACTCCGATAGGATGAATGATCTTCACAACCGTAGGTCTCCCAGCCCACAAGCCATTGAGATTACATTCATCGATTGAGACGGAGTCCCGTTTTTTGTATAGTGGATCTCGACAAGCCTCTTGAAGATAAGCCGGTAAGAATTGATGGATCATGAGTGGACGGGGG